GCCGGCGAGCTGCAGCTACTCGGCCCCGGAGACCAGCTGCCTGCAACCGGGAGAGAGGAGTCAGGTGGGGTGGGAAGGGAGAGGAAGGGGAGCCCCCAGGCACCGCGCCGGGGGCAGTGGGCGAGCACCCAGGCACCGGGGCGTTCCAAGAGGCAGCTTATCTGCACTGAAGACTTCACTTCTCTCCGACTCTTATGCTTCAAGAAGTGAAGTATGAGAGACTTAGAGCACAACGGGTTTGCGTTAAGTGCTTGCACATCCTAGCTACTTTTACTGCCCAAACCTGGAGGAAAGCACACTGCGGTAGCGTTCCAAGAGGCAGCTTATCTGCACTGAAGACTTCACTTCTCTCCGACTCTTATGCTTCAAGAAGTGAAGTATGAGAGACTTAGAGCACAACGGGTTTGCGTTAAGTGCTTGCACATCCTAGCTACTTTTACTGCCCAAACCTGGAGGAAAGCACACTGCGGTAAGACCGACCGTCAACTGGCTGCAGAACACAAGAACCCGAGTTTCAACCCCAAAACCCCCCCGGGGACACTGGGCCGTGAGCTTGGTATTTAGACCACCGTCAGGGATAGCGCGCGGAGGGAGTCACCTCCCCAGAACTCACTTGATCGACGAGCGGGAGCTCGTTATAACCGTGAGCAGGTTCTGCAAGGCCAGGTCTGCGTTCCGCTTCACCGCGGCCAGGCTCGCCGACTGGCCCGACCTCAAGGCTTCGTTCTCTGCCTTGTAATTCTTCAGCTGAACCTAGGGAAGAAACAAACAAAAAGCTTTATATGAAAACAACCACAAAGCTCCAGTAGATACTTAACAACTAAAGCAACTAATGAACACATTCATGCAGCAAATTATCACGACCACTGACGAACAGATCCCACAACCAGGCTGCCAGAGGGAACGCCCTCCCAGCTCTGGAGAGCAGGCTCTGGCCGAACACCACAACTCAGAAGCTTCTCTTAGAACTGCAAATGCCCGCAGCACGTCCCGGCCAGCAGCGCGCCTGCTTCACGGGCCCAATCCCGCGCTACGGCAGAGCGGGGAAGTCCAGCTGCGATGGCGGGGATGGAAGCGGGCGCAGGCTCTGCGGAGCTGGCGGCAGGATCGCTCGGGGGTCCCTCCCTCCTGTCGGGCACCTTCCCGCAAACTCTGTTCCTGGCACTCACACGTCCCAAATGCTGAACGGCGTTTGAACATCGCGTGAAACTTCAGCAGAATTGTAAGCGAAGCACACACACGCCAGAGATGAAGTTAACAGTCTGCACAGAGCTGCAGCACTCTGGCCTAGAACACCGTCTACAGCACTCGCTAGGGAAAGCGAGGTGTAGTTAGGATTTTTCAATATCCTTTATATAGGCTCGATTTCAAGTTTTACACTTTGAGCCCCAGCACATCCAGCAAGGCCTTACAAACACTGCTTCGTACCTGAAGTAGTGCGTTTTCCTGTTTCAGTTTTGCAGCACTGTTTTCTGCTTTAACAGCCCGTTTCTGAAACAGAATAAAGATTACTGACTCCACAGCAGCGCTCGGGACACCGCAGGCAGTTTGAGCTGCAGAGGAAAGCGCGATTCCAGCACGTAACTTGCAGTGACACGGTCTGCGTTATACCACATCATGTTCTGAATGCTTTAGAGATGGGGATAGTGCCCCCAGGCACCTCTGAGTAGTTGTTTCCTCCTCCCCTCCCTGTTTCTCCTTTCTGACATCTTCCAGTGCTGTCCATCACCGCCAGCCATTAAACTTTGCTCGCAAACAAGAGCAAAAGGTACTCAGTATAAACACACACGCAGGAAAAACTTAGTTCATGTAGGAGGTGTTTTCAGAAGGCTGCAAAAAAGCAGCTGAAGTTGTGATGAATCCGGAAACAGCATTAACGCAAAGACCTCCCTTATTCTAGGTAACGAAAGGAGCTCCAGACTGGGGCGCAGTCTCGTTGTAAGGGAAGAGTCTGACCCCACGTCAGGGCTGCTCAGCGCTCACACGGGTGAAGCGCTCACTTCGGCTTCCCTCGCCTTCCCGGGGGAGGAAGCAAAGGGAACAGAACAGCGCAGCTCCAGCTGTGAACAACGCCAACACTTACAGTCATCAGCTGGAGGTTTTGTTCCACGTGCTGCACCATCGCCTCCAAATCCTGCGCTTCTTTTTCTTCTTTAATTTTGTTTTCCTCAAGCTTTTTTTCAAGCTTCCTCATCCTTAAAAAACAGGAGACAAGGCTCAATGAGCACTTGTAACATTAAATACTTCAGCAAGAAGATCCTAGGGAAGGATCAAGAAACTCATTCTTTCATGTTGTAAGAAAAATAGAGGCTGTGGCTCAGGGGATTTCTTTGTTCAACAGCTATTAGCACTAAGGGGGACTGTGCAGCTGAATGCAGAAAGGCTGTACAGAAAACACAGTCATTCACAGTCAGCCTAGATAAGGGTAATTCTGAAATTACCCCATCACCACGGGAGGAGCAGCTGCCTCACTGTGAGGAGCAGCAGAGTGCAGAGGATTCAGATGGGAACTTAAGAAATTGCCACCCTGCATCGGTCACCAGGTTGTTTGAACTCGGGAAATTCAAGTCTCCCAATATCAAGTTGCTACTTACTTTCCAGCACTTTTTCAATGTGAAAACCAGGTTTGTTAAAGCTTTTTAATAAATAGCATAGATTTCAACTACATTTTTCTTCTTTAAAGATGTTGACTGTTTCCAGTGAGCACCTCTTCTAAGACAACTCCTTGCTTACGTGGTTACTTTCCCCCATACTGTGGCTTACGCACTTGTCTGCTTGAGTTTCAGAGAAAATCTGAAGCTTATTGATCTTGCTTCTTAAACTGGCGTTCTCTTCTTTCAGCTAAAAAATAAAAATTCTCATTAGAAATGAGGGTGTGGCTTCAAAACACTGCTAGCACTCCAAGACCAGTACTAGAAGAAATACTCAGCTTTAACTCTAGTGCTGGAGAGTCCTGCACTTTTTATCATGTTCAAGCTTACTTTCACACCTAGTTTTTCCGCTCTCAAAACCATTTAGCTTCAGTAACCCCGTGGGGCAGGGAAACGCGGCGCCAAGCAGCCAGTGCAGACGTGACTAACCAAACGCTGTTAATCGTAAATTAATGACCTCGAGGGGCAAGAGCTTGGGGAAATCACCTGGGTCACGCCAAAAGCGGTGCGACGGACGAGGTACTGAACCTGACTCGTGCTGCAGCGCGGTTTTTTGGGCCCGTTCCTCCCCCTCCAGCTGCCCCGACAAGCTGTCGCGGACGGAGTGGCCCTGGCCGACAGCGGGCTCTGACAGCGCCTGTGACGACCCGACCCAGAGCCGGGTGCCGGCTGCG